ATGAAGGCTGTAGAGATAGTATAGCACCCATCTGATCCCCTGAGCACCACCAGAAATAATTCCTGAGCACAGAATCATGAGGAAGTCCTGAGCATCACTGGATGTGGCAAAAAAAATTCAAAGAAATAAAAGATCCAAGAAATGATTCTATCTCTACAATTCAGGGGAGAACTGAGAGTCAGAAAAGTCCCATATTTATGGTTAGAAGGAATTGTTCTTGTGATGTGATCATATTTCCCAGTTGAGGGTTAAAAAAAATCCTTGTGTTATATCTTACACGAATATTAAATTCTAATAAAAATAATAATCCATATTGTATTATATCCCCGGCATCTCCAAATCAGCCGCTTGCTTGCGGCTGGAGTGATAGCACAGCGGTAGGGCGTTTGCCTTGCACCCAGCCAACATGGCCGACCCGAGTTCGATTCCTCCGCCCCTCTCGGAGAGCCCGGCAAGCTACCGAGAGTATCTCACCCACACGGCAGAGCCTGGCAAGCCACCCGTGATGTATTCGATATGCCAAACACAGTAACAACAAAATCTCCAATGGAGACGTTACTGGGCCCGCTTGAGCAAATCGATGAACAATGGGAGGGCCTTTACCTTTACCTTTTATTATATTATAAAATCTATAACTTATTGAGCACTTATTATCAGTTAGACATGTAATTATCCACCCAGTAACTGAAAGATGAGTATTAGTGCCTGTAGGATAATATTGGTTTAATAGCCTCAGGTAGTTTAGGTTTATTGGGTTGCTCCTAATACAGTGCTCCCTTTCCTCTGTGTTTATTTGTAACTTCTTTCCTTGTGCTCTGTTGACTTGTAAATATTGCTTTTTCTTCTCCCTAAGTCCTTTGCATAGTTTATTTAAAGCAATGTCCTTTTTGTATGGACACAGAAGACAGTATATGCTATACTTTTGTAAAGTGACTCTCAGTGATATTTTTCTCCTGGGCATCTGTTCTCTGGACCTAAGCCTCAGCTGCCCTTACTTCCTAGTGTCCCCAAAAGCAGGGTCCCGATGAGGGACTGGTTGGAACCAGGGCAAACTGTAAACTATGTGCTACCCTGGCATCCAGATGGGCCTGGTCAAAGTGCCTAATGTTTAACTATAAATTAAGAGCTTGGTCATGGGCAAATGCTGTCATGATCCAAAGTAGATTCGGACCCTCCTTGAGTTAGGGATAATTAATATGGCCTGAGCTCTGTATTCTGAGTCTGTGGCAAGATGATCCCAGGATGGCTGCCCTACAAGCCTCAATGTATCTCTTACTGTATCCATACACAAATAACTAGTATTAAGATGTTGATAGAGTTACTGGACTGAGGAAAAGAGAAAAACACCTTAGGAGGTATTTTGGCCTTGGGCAGTCAGGAAGGGCTTTGGAATACCTGTTAGGTGGTGTTTCCTTTGAATATGGTGGGCCCTCAGGAAGGGCTTTCTTATGTTGATTTTGCTACCTGACTGGGTGCGGTGTCAGCCAGCTGTGCAGGGGAGTTGGAGAGAAGAGAGAGCTGGAGAGAGGGAGAGCGTGGGAGAGTGAGAAAGAGCAGGACAACAAGTTGGAGTGCAGAAAGACTAGCAAGAGGGACAGAGAGAGAAGGATGTAGAAGAAGAATACAGAATACAGGAGAGAGAGAGCACTGGCTCGAGATGGAGTGCGGAGAGATGAGCGGGAGAGACAGGAGGAGACGGGAATGAGGGGCAGTGTAAGACTAGAATGGGGGGCTTAGAGAGACTGGGGCAGGCGTGTGGGGAGAATGGAATAAACAACATGTGATCAATCAACTGGCTTGGCCCTCCTTTCCTCCTTCCTTCTTCCCCATGACCCTGGCCACCCAAGCTGAGTGGTCAGCGGGCTCCAGAACCTGGGTGGGTAGGGGAAGAGCCCTCGGGGCCTCCCCGTGGCCATCGCCGGATATTATACAAGTGCCCTAAGTTTATTATTTGCCTCAGCAATAATGATTATTGATTAATTTTTCTTCTTTAGTCACAGGATCATTTGATCACTGATATTTTGAGTAATTCATAGAAGTCATTGTGGTTCTTTTGTTTTTAAGAGTTCATTATTCCTCCTCATGTCTAAAGTTCAGAAGGAACAGACCCACATGCAAGACTTTCAGTGAGCATTATGTATGTTCTATTATAATCTTCTTCTCTTTGAGTGTCAGGCAGAGGTTACTGGTTCCACTCACATCCAACTTTGATCAGTATTTATCTCCCTTTCTCCTTCCACCAAGGCATTTCAAGAACTGTTTGGTCTGTGAGTACAGGTTAGGTGTAAGTTCACATTATGGTAGTTCCAAAAGTCTTTGGCTTTCTGTATTTCTTATTTACATGAACTCTCCTCCTCTATTATTTAAGATTGTTTGAATTATCATACAGCAATTATTGTTAAAAATATTTGTAACAAAGGTGTCCTTAGATGTAATGTTATTTTCTTATTAAAAGTCCCACCCAGGAATTGTCACTCTATTCCCATTTTATATCCAGAGTACAAAACCTCACTAGGATTTTCAACTTTATGTGGAATTTTATAACCGTCATTATATGAACACGTGAAAGGTCCATCTCTAATAGCACTACCCTCCAAACCAAGCAACATTTTGGAGGGGGCAAAGTTTCTTTTATTTAAGGAAGAAATACTAAAACTGATCAAAACCTACTGTGAAAGTGTGTGGAAATCCTTTGCTACTTTTATGGGCAGGAGTAATATTGATAAGGTATTGTGGGAATTGAGTTTTTAATTTATTCCTTTTATTTTTAATATTAAAGAATCAGAAGGTTTCTCACAGAGATAAACTGTATATATTATTAATATTTCATATTAAACAATACATTATAATTAAATTTGGAGTGAAGAAGGCTTTTGTACTCAAATAGCAAAGTCAAAACCAAAGGATATATTCTATAAATTTGTTATTATAGAAATAAAAATAGCTTCATTTCAAAAATTTACAGGCACAAAATTACAAGGGCAAAACTGGTTTAAAAATGTACATAGATAGCACTGTCCTCCCTTGTTCATCTATTTGCTCAAGCAGGCACCAGTAACGTCTTCATTATGAGACTTGTTGTTATTGTGTTTGGTATATTGAATATGCCACGGGGAGCTTTCCAGGCTCTGCGGTGCAGGCGGGATACTCTTGGTAGCTTGCCAGGCTCTCCGAGAGGGACGGAAGAATTGAACCCAGGTTGGCCACGTGCAAGGCAAATGCCCTACCTGCTATGCTATCACTCCAGCCCTAAAATGTACAAATGTACATATGTATATGTAAATATCTTAATATAGAACTATTACAGCAATAATTAGTAAAAGATTAAATTCTAAGTATTACATACACTTATATATTAATAGAAAAAAGAACAAACTTGGGGTTTGTACAGAAAGATAGTACAGCAGATAAGGCATTTACCTTGCACATATCCAACTTGGATTTTATCCCCCAATACATCATATAGTCGTAGGGCCATATCAGGAATGATCCCTGAGCCCAAATCCAGGAATAAGTCATGAGCACCATCAGGTGTGTCACCCACTGTGAAAATTGCTCGAGCGGGCCCAGTAACGTCTCCATTGGAGACTTTGTTGTTACTGTGTCTGGCATATCGAATACTCTCGGTAGCTTGCCGGGCTCTCCGAGAGGGGTGGAGGAATCGAACTCGGGTCGGCCATGTTGGCTGCGTGCAAGGCAGATGCCCTACCCGCTGTGCTATCGCTCCAGCCACTGTGAAAATAAAGGGGAAAAAAGTAAAAGAAAAAAGAACCAACAGAAAAAGAGGACAAGTTCACAAACAGATGGTTCACAAAGGAAATATCAAGTGATGAACATTGTCATAGTAATATTAATCTGTAAATTTTCATAGGTCTGTTTTTTGAGGGGTTAAGGGGATATTCTATCACTCTGATAAAGACTGAGAGTAGTCACAATGTCTATTTGGAGAAGTGGAAACATGGTTATTGTTGTAACTGGGTACAACTCTTCTGACAATTTAAGTTGTCAAAGTCCTTCAGCAGTGTCTATATATTGAGATTGTTCATCAGAGATTGTTTAATGCTATGGGAAAGTCTTAAGTTAAAAATGAAACATAGACTACCGAACAACATGTATAATATGATCTCTTTTTGCTATGAAAGAGGAATAAAGGAATTGGAGAAATAGTACAACAGGTAGTGTGCTTGCCTATTTTTGATCCCTGGTACCTCATATATTTCCCCTAACCCTGCCAGAAATTTGGGTTAGAATCCCTAATCATACAGTCGGGAGTAATCCATGAGCACTGCTGAATTTCATGGCCCCAAGCCCAAAATAAATAGAAAAATATATGAAATATTTGGATTTTTATAATGTCTTCTTGACACTGTTTTGCATATTTAGATTTTCTAGTGTGAATTTTAACTTTATAGAGAAGTGAATACTTGTTTAAAAACTTTTTTCATCTGTTGTTTAACAACACATATATCTTATCAGAATCAAGTAACAAGTTATGGTTAAGCGAAGAATGTGATTAGGCATTTTTATATGTGTGCATAAGAGCTGGGCAGCTGAACACAGACAGGACAGAAAGGAAGCTGGTCTCTGGAGTGAAGTCAGGTCTGAACTTTTAATGTTTTGGTGGAAGATGAGAATTGTTAAAGGTTATATGCAATGCCAGAAACAAGTCATTTTTTTTTTTCAGGGCTTGCATTGTCTTAAGAATACTATAGAAGTTATGTGTTTAAGTTCAACCCTATATATATATATATATATATATATATATATATAATTGGAATTAAATTATTTGTTTTATTGTTTAAGTAATAATCATAAAAAGAAGGAATCCCCTAAAAGTTTAAATCTGTCCCAACTTATTTCATAATATAATTTCTTTTTAGAAAAGGATAAATCTCAGGCCAACATTTAAGTAGCAGTATCTTAACGGCGTTCAGTTATATAAATAAAATTATTTTGTTTTACTTCACAGAGTTTAACTAATCTTTTTCTCTATTGAGTAGGAAGTTGATATTATTCTATGCTGTCAAGAAAGAATGAAGCTGCATTTGGATAAGGCTATTGCCCAACTTGCGTAAGAGCTTAACCTCTGTGTATAACTTAGGATATATCATGAGTCTATACTTTTTTGCATCCCATTCAGATGGGTCAGGAGGATTTCTCATATATAGATAAAATACATGTGTCCACATGCATACACACATGTGAGCACATATTCATTTACATATTTTATTCAAAGATTGAGATGAATACTTGAAAATACTTCCTAGCCATGTTTATTAAAAATGACCTCATTAGTGGCCCTATTGTAAGTTCTGTGTGTGTCCTTTTTAAATTTTAACTAGCAAGACTTTCCTTTTCTACTCAATATATCATTTTCTGAGATGGCATATTCTGGATTTGTGTGAGCCTGAATCTTTAACATGGCCATTGGGCACAATCTGGGGAAAGTGATAGGGGAATGATTTTTTCAATTCCATTTGTTTTGGAGGAACAGTCAAAGCATCAGCTTGGACCTAAGCTATAAATAGATCTTATTAGGCACCAACATCCCAGCCAAGAACCTCCCTACTTTTGTCTATAGGATATATTGATAGGATGCTTCCTCAACTGCCTATCTGCTGAAGGAGATGCTGAAGTCAGGTGAGGGGGTCCAGAAAGACCCTCTTTGTCAAGTGCTTAAGTATATAGTTTTTGAATTCACAAAATGTAGATAGTTTGTATCTTTCCTCATTTCTACTTTAAAACTTAAAGAAGAGAGAGTTCAGTTGGTCCAGTAACCAGTATTCAAAGGGTTAAAGCAAACTAGGATAGCTCAACTAGAATTAGCTCATTCAATTTAATGTAGTTTTCACTGAGTAGCTCCTCTCTGCTGAGACAATTTTTAAATGCGGGCATACTGAAATGAGTAAGATCACCAATTGTCCTGATTTTCCAGATAATTTTCATTTTTCATGATATCTGGATCAAAGAATTTCTAACCCATGCTTTTCTCCCATATTCCAACACCCTATTTGGTTGGTACCTCAACATGGATGTTTAAATAAGATTCTTCTCCACCAGGGGCTATGTGGTCCTAAATGGGCTCCCAGAATGTTCCAAGGGAGCCACAGGTGAAAAATAGTGTCAGCAGGGGACCATAGAGTGAGATTAGGGGGCTAGTAAGTGGGGAAGTGGGGCCACAAGAAGTAAATCTGTTCAGAAGGGCACCACAGTTGAAATCACTGGTTTAAACGACAGTGATCAGCTCACTGATCAGTGCATCAGCTCCACTTATGTCCTCTATTCCATATCCTTGCCTATCTCAGTTGATGACATTTTACTATTGTAATAACTCACCTTCAGCTCTTTTTTCCTCATTGCTCTTCAATATCCTATTCAATCTCTTGCTTCTAATTTTAAAACACAGTCAAAGTTTCTCACCTCCTTCACCACCTTGGCCTTGTCCAAGCAACCATCATCTCTCCTCTGGGTAATAGCATTGCTCTGCTAATGGTCTTCCTGAGCCTTGAGTCTGTTTTCATCCCAAAATTGGCATAATCCTTAAAGTTAGTAAGCCAATGGTCTCTCATTTCACTCAGAGGAAAACATGATTCCTTCCAGGGATTGGAGAGGCCTTTTAAGCTCTGGTTTTTGTACTGCAAGTCTTTGGTCAAACATTGCCTCCCCAGAGAGATCTAACCTGACCATGGTATTTGAAATTTTCACTTATACTTCTGATTCTCTTTTTCCACTTAGTTTACTGCATTGTTATGCTAACAAATCATAGGATATGCTTACTCATTGTGGGCAATGCTTATTTCTTAGCAGTAGAATATAAGTTCAGTTAAGGGAAGAGAAGTTTGCTTTTTCCTTTTGTATTTATACATGCCAGACTTTCAGAAGAGCTGGGAATAAAGTAGGCACACAATAATTGTTTATTTCACAAACTACCAGAGGAGTAGAAATATGGTTCACTCCTACTCACATGCCTCCTCCTTCTCTCACACACCTATTTCTTTGGTAGTGAACACTGATCTCTTCTCTACCTCATACCCATGCTGCTCAGAGCTCAACAATTACTCTTGGTTCCCAGGCTAGGGATAGATGACTACTGGAGAACTGGAGCCTGGAAGGGGAGTTCTGATGGCTTTTCAATAGCTTTCCCCTGGAGGCTGCTTTTAGAAACCAGTGGTTTCTCTCTTCTGAAAATACAGGCCTCTCATGATGACAATTGATGTAAGGAGAAAAAAGTTAACAGACAATTCACAACTCATTAGGGAATTACACTCAGTGGTGGAGAAAGGAGTTAAGATGTGGAAGAGAGAAAGGAAGAAGGAAAATGAGGCACATATATAGACAGATTACTTTAAACCAATGTCCTGCCTTGATTCAAGATTCCCAACTTTGTTTATCTGTGTTTACCCCACCACATTCACCCACCCCACCACACCCCAAAAGAGGGCCTAACTATTCACATGTATAGATATAACTATAGAAAGTTTGTTTTCAGTGAAAAGCTGAACACTGAGTATAAAAGGAGAGATCCAGATAATTTTTTTTTTTTTTGCTTTTTGGGTCATACCTGGCGATGCACAAGACTCAGGAATTACTCCTGGCGGTGCTCAGGGGGACCATATGGGATGCTGGGAATCGAACTTGGGTCGGCTTCATGCAAGGCAAATGCCCTACCTGCTGTGCTATCACTCCAGCTCCAAGATCCAGATAATTTAGAGGAATGGGTGCCAAGAAAGAAAGATATGCTTCTTCCTACACATTGTTACCTAAATTTAAAGATTTATTCCCCCACTCTGTGTTCCAGATCCAACAGAGCTGCCCAGCATGAGCTGGAGAAGGACCTAAGTGACAAACAAACAGCTTACAGGATTGATGACAAATGCCAACACCTGCAAAACACTTCAGATGGAGTCAGCTTCTACCGTGGTGTTGAGAAGGTTGATGCAACGTAAGTTGGAGAGACAGCATGCCTGTGATGTTGGCCCATTAATTTGTTCTAACATTTTTCAAAATTATACAGCTTGTAGATTAAATATGGAAGACATGAGAAGATGCTTATTACTCAAAGACACATCATTCTTTGGACAGGTCTCCAATAATTATGATTATTCTACAGTTTATACTCTGGCATTTGCGTTCTTTGGTTTTTGGTGAAAGAATATCTATTTTTCTAACTATAAATATGTGCTTTATGAATAAAGTTAGAAAAAAAACAGATAAATACAAAGAAAAATAAAACTTTGCCAGTGTTTAGATATTCTAATTTCAGTGGTTAACTAACCTGACAAACACATGTAGATTTTCCTTATCAATTTGTTAGATTTGTTCTGTTAATGGTTTCTTTCCTTAAAATAGGTTTTCCTTAAAACCCTGCATGCTATCTTGGGTTCATCATTTTTCTAGCTGTTCCTAAAAATGAATTTGATTGAGGTAAAATTCACCTACAATAAAATTTATTTAGGATATATTTTGATAACTTTTTCCTTGTTGGTGCAAGGTGAGGGCTCCCAAGCTGTTCTCAGGGGCCAGTGGTCCCTCTTGGGAACTTTTGACATCAAATCCAATGGCTCAATTTGAAAACTTAAGAATATAGTACTACTTAGTCCCTATGGTTCTGGTGACAAATAGGGTCTTATTAGTGGTGCTAGAGGACCATTAGGGCCATAAGCAGCAGTGTTCAGGCGTCTCCAGGGCTACACCCCATGATGATCAAGGAACCATGAGGTCCTGGAAACTGAATCAGGCCAAAAACAGCAAGCCCCGGTCCTATTTCCTTGACTCTATTTTTATGACTTATTATAAATGTCTGTCTATGTTTCCATGACTACATTGATCTAAAAATATTATTGTTACTTCAAAAACTTCCCTTGTATCCTTCCAACTTTGATATGTCTCCCCCCTTTAAAAGGACTCCCCCCTATACAAAGAAAACTACAAAACGCTACTTCAGGAAATAAGAGAGGACACGAGAAAATGGAAAGATATCCCCTGCTCACGGATGGGGAGAATTAACATTGTCAAAATGGCAATACTTCCCAAAGCACTGTACAAATTCAACACGATCCCTATTACGATACCCATGACATTCTTCAGAGAAATGGAGCAAACACTCCTGAAATTTATATGGAACAATAAGCCCCTACGAATAGCTAAAGTAATGCTTGGGAAAAAGAAAATGGGAGGAATCAACCTCCCTAACTTCAAACTCTACTACAAAACAGTAATCATTAAAACAGCATGGTACTGGAAAAAAGGTAGAGCTGTAGACCAATGGAACAGGGTTGAATATACTGACATCTCCCCCCAAGCATATGATCATCTAATCTTTGATAAGGGGACAGGAAAAGTGAAGTGGAGCAAGGAAAGCTTCTTTAACAAATTGTGCTGGCAAAACTGGACGGCTGCATGCAAACAAGTGCTCTCAGATCTCTGCCTAATGCCATGTACAAAAGTAAGATCAAAGTGGTTTAAAGACCTCAACATCAGACCGGAATCCATAAGGTACATTGAAGACAAAGTTGGCAAAACCCTCCATGACATTGAAGCTAATGGTATCTTCAAAGATGTCATGCCACTGGCCGAGCAAGTGAAAACAGACATAGACAAATGGGATTATCTTTAAACTAAAAAACTTCTTTGCCTCCAAAGAAACAGTGACCAAAATACAAAGACAGTCTACAGAATGGGAAAGGATATTTGCCCAATACACATCCAACAAGGGGTTGATATCAAGGATATACAAAGTGCTGGTTGAACTCCAGAAGAAGAAAACATCCAACCCCATCCAAAATGGGGCGATGAGATGAACAGAAACTTTCTCAAAGAAGAAATCCGAATGGCTGAAAGGCACATGAGAAAATGCTCCACATCATTAATCATCAGGGAGATGCAGATCAAAACCATGAGATATCATTTCACAACCCAGAGACTGGCCCACATCCAAAAGAACAAAAGCAACCAGTACTGGTGTGGATGTGGCAAGAAAGGGACCCTCCTCCACTGCTGGTGGGAATGCGAACTGGTTCAGACCTTTTGAAAAACAGTACGGATGATCCTCAAAAAATTAGAAATTGAGCTCCCATTTGACCCAGAAATGCCACTCTTGGGAATATATTCCAGAGAGGCAAAAAATTATAGTCGAAGTGACATCTGCACTTGTTTGTTCATTATAGCACTCTTTACAATAGCCAGAATCTGGAAAAAACCTGAGTTCCTGAGAACAGATGACTGGTTAAAGAAACTTTGGTACATTTACACAATGGAGTACTATGTAGCTGTTAGAAAAGATGTCTGTTCATTGATTTGCTTGAGCAGGCTCAGTAACGTCTCCAGTATGAGACTTTCTTGTTACTGTGTTTGGCATATTGAATACTCTCGGTAGCCTGCCAGGCTGTTCAAGAGGGGCGGAGGAAGCGAACCTGGCTCGGCCGGGCTGACAGCGCGCAAGGCAAACTCCCTACCACTGTGCAAATTTACATACAAGTGGTACTACATGGAAAGTATCATGTTAAGCAAAATGAGTCAGAAAGAGAGGGATAGACATAGAAATATTGCATTCATCTGGGGAACATAAAGTAACAAAATAGGAGACTAACACTCAAGAATGGCCGAGATTAGTACCAGGAATTTTGCTCCATGGCTTGGAGGTCAGCTACACATGCTAGGGGAAAAGGGAGCTCAGATAGAGAAGGGAGCACCAAATAAAGGGTGTTGGGAGGATCACCACCCCTCCCTGTGTGCCACCCCTCCTATACACACCCCCAAAACTCCCCTGCCAAGAAGCCTCTATCATCATGATCTCAAATTTCTGGTGATAGGAACAGCACTATTTAGTAAGTTTGAATTTGAGATTCTTCAGTATGGATCAGATTCAAACCTTATTTCCTGAGTTCATGAAATACCACTTACTTGGCTTTTGATGAGCAGGGATAAATTTCCTATTCTCCCTCTTTGGCAGTGGTGGTCTGGGATTTGACCATATGCTCTGAATGCTTGGATTTCTGGTTTTGTGGGTTTTTAAATTTTTTTTAGTTTATTTATTTACTTATTTGTTTTTTTTGCCACACAGGTGGAGCCCATGGCTTTCTCCTGGCTCTGTGCTCAGGGATCACTCCTGGCAGGGCTCGTGGGGGATCATATAGGGTGCGGGGATCAAACCTGGGTCGGCTGCATGCAAGACAAAAGCCTTTCCCATTGTACTATTGCTCTGGCTTCATGAATGCTTACCTTTCCTTTAGTAAAGGGCCTTCCGCTTCTAGAAGAAATAAGTTTTTAGCCATAGAACAGCATATGGAGCCTATTTCAGATCATTAAAGCCTGAGCTAAAGCATCCACCCAATACAACAGAAAGTCTCATTTCATATTCTATGATACCAACAACCAAAATATATCTCCATAGGTCTGCTATCTAGACAAAACCAATGTCAATAACTTACTATTAGTTTTTTCAATATTCTTCCACACAGTTAAATAGATCTACATTTTTGAATCATGACATACTACTTATAAAGTTTGCCTACCCTTTTTACTTCATTATATTAAAAAATTGTGATGTCTATATGAACATATTCTTATACCATGTGTGTCTATAAGCTAATGTGGATTGCCTTTTAAAATGTATCATATGTTGGTCAACTTATGTCCTCCATATATATTTTGGGGCACGTTTTCTTGGAGTAAGTTTCTTTGAGTTCTCATGTCAGCAGCAACACATGTTAAAACTGAATTGTTACAGAGAAGACAGCATAGCCCCTGTGTAAGGAGATAAAGATGATGTACAAATTCCTAAAGCTTTCCTGGTTTTAGTTCTGGGAATGTAACCTGGAACATGGTGACTATAGTTAACAGCACTGTACTGTATACAGTTGTGCTTAATGGCAGAAATCTAATCTGAGAAATACATCATTAGGCAGTCTTAACATTTAGAAAATATCATAGAAAAAATGTAAAAACCATCATAATCAGGAAGGACAGAAATGAAAAATATGGCAGGTGATATTAAAAAGTCAATAGAAGCTCTAAATAGCAGTTTAATAGAAACTGAGCAAGAGATTGAGAAACTCAAAGATGAGAAGGAGGAAACCACTAGGAAACAACAGAAAGTGTAAAATTATCTGAAAAAAAGAACAAAATACCAGAGAACTATGGGATGAGTTCAAGAGGAACAATTGAGAGCCACTGAAGTCCATGAAGAACAGAAAGGCAAATATGGAGAAACAATAGTTAAAGAAATCATTGATAAGAACTTCCCAGACTTGAGGATTACAGGCACCAAGATCCAAGAGACCTGAAGGGCCCCTGTGAAAATAGACCCAATTAAGAAAATTCTAAGACACATTATACTCAAAATGACAAAATCCAAAGATAGAGGCCGAGTATTAAAAGCAGCAAGATCAACAAAAGGAACTTGTACACAAAGGGGAATGTTCATCAGGTGTACAGCAGATGTTTCAAATTAAACTCTATAAGCTAGAAGACTATGGAAAGATATAGTACAAAAACTCAATGAACTGAACATCTCACAAAAAATACTCTATCCAGCTAGATTATCATTCAGATTTGAAGGAACTTTACAGAGATTCACATATAGGAAGCAGTTCAGGAAATTTATGGTCTTGGAACAAGTTTTGCAAGAAGCATTGAAAGAGCTCCTTTAGAGAGAGAGAACAAAAGGGAATACCCGCCACAGAGGCAGGGTGGGATGGGGGGGATGGGTGTGGGAGAGATACTGGGATCCATGGTGGTGGAAAATGGGCACTGGTAGAGGGATAGGTATTTGATCATTGTATAATCAAAACCCAAGCACAAAAATTTGTAAATCTACAACTGTACCTCATGGTGTTTCACTAATAAAAATTAAAAAAAAACAAAAAAGAAAGAGCTCCTTTAAAGGGCAAGAGAATTATGTGGTATTGAGTATTGCACTCACTAGACTGTCCTCTACTAGAGTAAGAAAGGCTAAAAACATATAGCAATATTAATCATCACAAATTTACTTACTTGCTTATTTTCTAATAATTCTATTTGCCATTATTTTAAGTTTTTTGAAACAAAGAATATAAAATAAATTTCTTGTGTACCTGCTAAGGGGACAAAAAAAGAAGACACATGTGTAATAGGGAAGATGTGATGATTACCACAACAAGGTTCAAGTACAAAATAAAATTTAATGCAGTATGTTTTAGTTGCCATAGTTGAAAGCTTAGTTATGTGAGAATAGGCAGTTTACTGTATTGTATTAAATGATTTTAATTTCCTTATTTACATGGGTTAAAATCATATAATAATTAATCATTACAAATGGACTTTTGTTCTGATAATTCAATTTGCCATTTCTTTAAGTTTTGTTGGGGCAAGAAATATGAAATAATTTTTTTATATGCCTACCAATGGAGCAGGCTGAGAAACAGCAGAGACCCAGGGGACACTGGTTATGGAATTAGTACTAAAACATTGTATGCCTAAAGCAATTCTATTATGAACAGCTTTGTAAATAATGGTGTATTAATTAAAAATAAACATAAATATATTAAAAATGTGATAAATTAAACAAACCTAGATCACTAACCAACTATATAACAGGACTATATGATGTAGTCTATTGGGACTATCACTGTATATGTCATTAATTTTAATATTTAATGTCACAAACTGACAGTAGCAATTCATGGTCTGTTGGTTGAAACCTGCTGTCAGTTAAATAAAAAGAACCTTTTCATAAGTTGTCAGGAATTTCCTACAATCTGAAACCATTCATGTGACACTGATACACGTGGTCTGTCACACACCAAAATGTCATGAAATTACATATGAGTATAACTTAAAGTTTCTAAAGGAGTAGATATTAAATAATCTCACAAAGGGAAATTATGTAATTTTTAACCCAGCCCCAGAAATGGAAATGGAATTATAATCTTTAGTGGTGATGTTAACTAGACTTTCTGTGGCTAACATTTTCATAGAACATAACAATATTGAGCCATTATTTTGTTCACAAATACATAAAATATTGTTTATGCATTATTTTGTTCATACATTATTTTGTTCACAAATCATACAATGCTATGTGTCAATTATATTTATAAAAGTAGTATTTCAAATGTTTTGGGTTTTGTTTCCTTTTTGCCTTCAACATGGTCTCCCAACATTCCCACCTGTAGCATGTAAGAGAATCTTCTCTCTACGTACTCACAAGCAAATTATCATTCTTTTTCTTTATTACTATGATGCTATTTATTTCATTACTACTTTTTTATTTTTGATGTTGAATTTTTTCCTTCTGTTTATTAGGCTGATGGGACACATTTACAATGATCTTAAATGTCTATACCTCTCACTAATTGTCCCTTTCCCCAAATTTTGCGGAGGATTAGTTTATGCTTTCGATTTGTAGAAACTAAACAGTAAAATAAAGAGCAGTTAAAGAAATGTTTAAATTGTGTTCTGATATTGACATTTAATTCAGTCTGTGCAGTATTTGTGAATTGAGGTTTTTCCTGTTTCACTGGCATGGATTCATCATTGTCACCATTGTTTGGTTCTCTTTTCCTTTTATCAGGATCTCAGTGCCTGAGTCCTGGGCCAAATTTACAGATGACAATATTCTCCGCTCTCAGAGTGAACGAGCGGCATCTGCCAAGCTCAGAGAAGATATCCAAAACCTCTTAGTTGTAACTGCCAATGAGATGTGGAATCATTTCAACAAAGTGAACATGGCTTTCACCAATCGAATTGCTGAGACTGCAGATGCTAAAAATAAGATTCAGACTCACTTGGCAAAGGTAAATCAAGCACTGGCCGTTTGCTTTAGGTGAGCTAGAGAGAGTCATGGATTCTAGAACAACAAATCTCTCACTACTACCAGAGAGAGACCATCAGGCACATGACCTGGTCTAAAAGTGTTTTAAAAACACAAAGTGCAAAGCACACTGTTTACTTTAGCCAGATTTTTAGCTATTAAGATAGAACTGGAATCCAGTATTTGTTGAACATAAAAATGTAATAAAAGTTCCCTAGTGTTTAATAGAAACAAGAATGTTGTTAAAGTTTAAAAATCTAACTGTATGGAATTGGGAAGAAAATCTATTACTAGAACATATGGCGGGGATATTTTCTGTTAAATTACTGCTGTTAAATTAAAAACCAAATACAGGAAACTGCTAGGTAATTCAAAGTTTTCCTGTTATTGAACTTTTCTACGTGCTCTAAGTATAAGTTTTATTAAAAAGTACAATAAAGTCTTCAAGCAGAAATTACCTGTTAATTTTTTTAAATTATTTTTTAAAAAAGTATCCGTCTCAGAGCTCTTATTTCTCTAAATTAAGGTACATTTAGTTTATTGTTTCTTTTTTAAAAAAGAACATTATACTCATGTTGTTTTCAGTTAATCTTGTCCAGCAGAGGACACCCTACTTTTCCCAGGCTGCAGGAATTAACCTTATCTTTCTGAGTGTCATCTTTGGATAGGAAACAGTTGTTGAACCAGATAGTGAACTATATATAGTGAAGGACAGAAAAAACCCTAAAATCTAGTTTTATTTCCAGGAAACATGCTATATATGAAAAGCTTATAAACAATGAATAACAATATAAAAATTTCAAGTTGTGGTTGCCAAGCAAACACATATCACAGGTACTTGGGGAAATGTGTAAGAAGTAAAAAAGTCCAAGTAGCAATACATCTCGAACAAAGTCTCCAGAGGTAGACAATCATATGTTGGGTTTGGTTGTTCCTTTCTAGCATAGGAAGAAGTGGTGTTATGTGTCCAGGAAGAGACACTTGGATAATTAAGTTGGAGCCAGACTTTTGAGAATATTGATGGGAAGGTATCTTTTGGACTGTGACAAGCAAATATTCTGTATTCCTCTAGAAGGACGACTTAATAGAATCTTTTTATTCAAAAATTCTGATTTGCTTGTGCTGCTATAAGAAAGCATTGCCAGTAACATGAATTAAATACCAGAACTTAATTTTCTCACGGTTGGGAGATCTAAGACCAAACATTGGCGAGGATGGTTTCTTCTCTACCTTTCTCCTTGACTTACAATTGGCCATCTCCTCCCTCAGTCTTAATGTGGTCCACCCTCTGTGTTTTTACATGTCCTAATCTCTTCTTCTATGGATTCAGGAATATTGAATTGGAGTCTAAATTTAATGACTTCATTTTAATTAAATATTTTCTTTAAAGAATTGATATCTAAAGTCAGTCACTTCTACGGCACTGGAGGTTGAAACTTCAACATATGAATTTTAGAGATTTGAAGAAGGTTGATTTAATTCAATCTGAGCTGTATTTGGTGGTATGGTTGGAATATTGGGGCATACATACATAACTGCACACTCAACCTGCCTCCTTGTAGATCAGAATGAAACAATAAAACATTCCATTAGGAAGTAAGATCCGTAAAATGGTGAGGAGAGAAGCTCTGGGAGTTATAGATCAATGTTAAACGCGTTGAAAGGAGTAATTGTTTCCGATTATAAGGATGGCTTCATGGAACAGGGAGCTCCACCTGGCAATCTAATAATTTCCAACAGATTGTCAAAGCTTAAATGACAGATTTTAAAGTTCCTGGCTTAAAAATACTTTTCTGGCTCACACAAATTGCCTGAAATATGCCCGTTTTCATGAGATCTCTCAAGAAGAGAAAGGTCATTGTTAAAGAGGTGGTAAGAGACCAAACCCTGCCCGCACCTGATGAAGCAAAATTTGAGAAAATAAAGGAATGAGAACTACAACTGTTCATAGAAAATCAGCAAGAAAAGGGTTTCAAGGATAGGGGAACATTGGAGAGACATCAGTTTTGTAAGTGCAGTGTCAGGGACCAGAGGTTGACTACAAAGCCACTTCTGATTGGGCAGGTTGTAAGTGAAGCAGTTAGTGAAAAATATTATTAAATATATTTGGTAAACATTACTAGAGGTTGGATAGGTACCAATTGGAGAGGACTAGATAAAAGAGTAGTGGTGAAAATATAAAATTTTAAAAGAACCAAGGATCCATTTGGGTGCACCTCTTGGGGCCAGAATAGAGAATTAAGAAAGGGTAGAAAAAGAAGAGAGCAGTGAACAGGAGTTGGTTTCAAAGGTTAATCGAGGCCTAGAAGATTTTATAGCATGGGAGGGAATTCACTTTATAGAGGACAAATTAGGGAAGATTCTAGGTTTATGTAATTGGAGCACTCTAAGAAAACAGCATATTAAAATGAGTACTAAAATTTGTCAGTCTTCTTTTCTTAAAAATTAGATGTCCTGAAGATAGAATTTGATTCACTTCAAAGAAAATTTTCCACTAGAGATCAGTAACGAAGAGAATGGAGTTAAGGAGGCAAGAAGATATTGGTGTAAGGAAGGGAGTTCAGGGCCACCCAGTGCTTTTGACCCCTCTTTTTTCAGAGTTTCCTACAAATCTGAGTTGGTAGATACCGGACAAGTTAATGAGCAGTAATGCGGGTGGGGTGAAAGCTTTAGTTTGTAGCATTTGTTGCTTTTGTCATAGAATTAATTCTACTGAGGGCTAAATCAGAAGTTGGGAATTGTTGATACAACTCCTCAGAACTGCAGAGGGGGTGTAAGAGAGGAGCAGTACACTGCAGAGAGCCTCTTAGGTAGAGCAAGACCCTCAATGATGAGCCTGCGACTACATGGACAGGTCAGAATGAGAAAACAAGGGATAGCATAAGCTTTGGACATTTGCTTCTCTTCCTGCAGACCCTGCAGGAGATTTTCCAGACTGAAATGACCATAGAATCCATCAAGAAAGCCATCAAGGAAAAGTCTGCCTTCCTAAAGGTAGCTCAGACCAGACTGGATGAGCGCACGAGGAGACCAAACATCGAGCTGTGCAGAGACATGGCCCAGCTACGGTGAGGCTCTTGCCCTGGCACAGGAACAGGTTCAGGGTCTGAGGGCAGGTCATGCACTTTATAGAAGGTGCTTTCTGCAAACATATGTAATATGATCACGATCACGACCATCCTGTTGTTCGTCGATTGCCTCGAACAGGCCCCAGTAATGTCTCCTTTGTCCTAGCCCTAAGATTTTTTAAAAAGTGCCATATAAAAGCTCTTCCAGGGCTAGAAGAATGAGACCCATCATTGTTACTGGTATTTGGTATATTGGGTACACCACGGGGAGTTTGCCAGACTCTGCCGTGTGGGCAGGTTACATTTGGTAGCCTGCCATTTTGTCCAAAGTGAGACAAAAAAAGTTTGCTTTCTGCAAATACATGTAATATGGAAGGGACATAATTGTAATTGTGTTGGAGACTTCTTTTAAAATATCAGTAATGTGAGTTTTGCTTCAATGGACATGAGGTTTCAGTTTGAGATGATAAAAGATCACATATATACATATATATATATATATACATATGGTGGTGATTGCAGAACATTGTGAATGTCACTGTAGCATATATATTTATAAATATGTATTTTAAAATAGTGAAGATGGTAAATTTCATGTTATATATAATCTTGACACTGTTTTAGAAAGGTGGAACTAACAATGTTAATAAAAATTTATCAAACTTCATTCAGTGGTACCTAAAGTTATACTTGGGTTACCTAATACTTTTCTGGAATTTCTGGAACACCTCTCAAAGTCACATAGTTCATTACTTTCTGTGTATTTCTTGATACTGGGAACTCTTCAGTAAAAGTACCAATTCCAGTGGCCCTATTTGATATCACCCATTTGCTCTGAGGGGCCTTCTTGGGTGGTTTATATCTGCTTTTGTCATTACTATCCTATTTACAACCCCATAAAACTCCTGAGAGTCTTACTCAGGCTCATTTCAGTTTGTTCAGTTCTCAGTGGAAATCAAAAGCAGCTGGGTTTGATTATTTAGAAGAAATTTAACTGTAGTTTATACAATGTGGTTTATACAGAAGAAATTTAACAGTGTAGTTTATCTACTAAATATTGAACGAATTTTATTATTGTTATAATTTTAACTTTCAAGATTCCTTTTTTGGATGGCCTTTTAAGCACAGTGCAAAGGTCCTGTCCCCCTCCACCTGCATACTGGACTCATTTCCCAATGACAGCCCAATGCTTTCAGCCTGCCTTTGTTTTAAGAATGTCATCATTGTTATTCTTATGTCAAGAAATACTCCATACAGAGGCAAATCAAATTTGTAGCAGTCTGAAAGAACAAAGATCCAGCACTTGAACTACAAAATCCTGTATGGTATAGTAGGGTGATTCCACTGCAACTGCTCTGGTTATAGAATTCACATAATTAGGGATGGAGCAATAATACAGTGAGTAGTGCATTTTCCTTGCATGGAACTAACCTGGGTTTGATCCCTGACTTTCCATATGGTCTTCTGAGCTCATCAGAAGTGATCCCTGAGGGTAAAGCCCTGAGAACTGCCTAGTGTAGCCCCCAAGCTAAAAAAAAGTGTGATGTGAGAGCCAAAAGGATAGCACAGGGTTAAAGCACTTGCCTTGTACCCCATAAGTCCTTCCCCAACCCCTGTCAGGAGTGACCCCTGAGTACAGAGTTATGAACGGTTACCCAAACAACAACAGCAAAAACCAAACAATGAGAAAAGGAATTCACACCACCACCACCAACAGATTTATTTTTTCAATGTAGGAGTATTGCTATTTATTCAGCCATTGATTAAGCTGATTGAATTGAACATGAACTCCACATTACTTTTTATTTTTTTTAATTGAATCTCCCCATGACGTATTCGATATGCCAAACACAGTAACAACAAAGTCTCCAATGGAGACGTTACTGGGCCCGCTCGAGCAAATTGATGATCAACGGGAGGGCCTTTACTTTTACTTACTTTACTTTTAATTGAATCACCCTGAGATACAGTTACAAATCTTTCATGTTCGAGATTCAGCCGTACAAGATCGAACACCCATCCCTCCACCAATGCACACTTTCCACCACCAGTGTCCTCAGTACATCTCCCCCCCCACCCCCATCCCAGTTCTCACCCTCTCTCCATGGCAAACAACTCCCCCAATACTCTTTCTCTACTTTTGGGCCTTATGTTTTGCTCAAATTTTCCCACCACCATAAAAATCTGCCTGCCAGGGACAGGTGCTAGATCATTTATTGTCCATTGTTCATTTTGAATATCATGGGTGCTGTGGCTGTGCGCTTCTGGAATCCTAGATTGTAAATGGTTGGGTTCCAGAGACACTAATCCATTTTGGAATCTATTTGGGCATCTCTGGACAAGGGCTATTGGTGCGCTAAGACGGCACATTGTACTGATGACAGTCAGGCTGACGAGTAGGTGGGGAGCTGGGGAGGGACAGCCCGGTGCCTCTGCCACCATGCGGCATGGAGATTTAATCATGGAACTCGCATACCGGGGCCTTGTTTGTGTAAGCTGTTGGTCACTGGTCACCACCAGCAATTTATCCCAGGGATAAATAATGTCAAGTTCTACCAATGAAATAAGTGTGAATTTTTTGTCTGTAAAAGAAAAGGTAATCTTTGTGAGTCTGACAGTGATGAAAGTAATAAAAAAAATAGTAATTCTGATCATAATGATTGCTGGAATTTCACAGAATAATATCTTTTTCTGTTCTGGCCACTGTCCTGAGCACTTTGCTCTGCATAATTTGTTATCTTCACTTACAGATAGGAAACTAAAGCTCAAGCTCTTTAAATAATTTGGCCATAGATTGATTACCTAGAGTTCTCTTCAACCAGGTCAACTATTTCTTCCAGCTTTGTCCATCTTTCACATTGCGTGGTGATTTTATCCCTCCTGTGTTAGGGAACTGATTTCATGGACTTCACAATGCCCATCAGTAAAAGCTGGGAAAGAAGAGTATTCTCGTATCTTTCCCAGAGAATGAAACTGATGGTTATAGGGGAGGTCATTACTGTAAAAACCCTTTGTGTCTAACATGCATGTTGCTAGAGTTGGATGCAAAAAAGCATGCTATAGCATTACTGAAAAGGTTCTTCACCTTGTGCACTAGCTGCATTTCTGTTTGTGGAATTGATGTTTAGGCAAATAGTTGTCTCAGGCTATGTGGATTTTGAAGTGGGTTCCATAGAATCTCCTATTCCAGACCAGAGAGGCCTAGAGCAGTCAGTTCGAATTCTTGCTTGTTTCACGGAAGCCTAGCGTTAAAAACAAACCCATTTAAGCCAGCTGGAACTAGATTGTGAATTGTGCCTTTCTGCAAAGATTAAAAGAGGCTGAGCTGTAGTTTCATTCTCTGAAAATTTCTGCAGTCATCAAAAGTGGAGATGGGATTAAGTAAATTGTCCAGCTTGCTAGTGAACACACAGAGTCACTATTTAAAAGGGTTTAAGTTGTGGTCCAGTTTGACACCAGAGTTATCAAACAATAAGGCTTTCACAGCAACTTCAGAAAAGCTGTACGGGTTTTACACTTTCTGCATCTTCACAGCTAAAGAAAATTTAATTTTCCTTATCTTTATATTGTGTCTATTTTCTGTTCCCCTTTTGAGTTAATCACAAAATTTCTTATTGTTTCTACAAATATTTTTGCTAAAACATTACTGTCAACATCAATATGGAATAGAAACACTGGAATTTAAGGTTATAATTGTGCGGAGAAATTATTTTACTTATTCCACTGATTATTCATGGTGAAAATAACCCTGTAACTATCTAGATTTAAGAAATAAATCACATACACTTGATTATGAGGATTGAGAAAAATCCAAATTTTATGACTTTTATTTTCATTTAAACTTTTCCAAAATTTTTTTTTTCGAAAGTAACTAAACAATCTTGGCATCTTTGGTGGCAGGCCAGACTAGTCTGTGCTTTACTTAAATCATCTTGATTTTAAAAACATTCTATAGTAGCTTTACTTTTATTTGAATGCAAAATATTTTCATTTCTGTAACTCCCCTAAAATAAATGGTTTCAGTATAAACGCTCTCTAATCTGCCAGGAACAAGGAAACTTCGAGCAAAATGTAGCCTTGAAAGCTCTTGAAATAGGTATTTCCATCAGTAAAACTGAAGGAAAGTGTAATGCCTATTAGCTTGTTCCCACAGCAATGGGAAAACAATGGCCTTGACTGCAATCTGTGTCTATTTCTTTTTAGAAAAAGAAAGAACGACTTTAACATGTATATTTTCAAAAATTTCCTTGCAGATAAATTTTCCACTCTACTAGTGTCTGACTTTGTGTGGGGGTAAAGTCATATCAATCACTCTGCTCTGTGTTTCCTACCTTTGAACTCAGGGTTTATTTGTTTATGGGGGAGCCATTGGAGGTAGTCCAGGTGAGTGAGCATCAGGCAGATGTACCATGGTTACTACCAATAGTCCGTGTAAATCTTGTTACCACATGTGAAGATGCTTCCTGGAAAACCTCTCTTTACTGGTGAAATTTTATACCTGGGATCTTCAAAAAAGATCTAATACTTTTAATTCAACTTGAGTTTAGTTCAAAATTTTTGTTTTTAATTCAATTTTACCTAAATAAAAAAAGTTCTAAAATGATGGGATCTTAGATTTTTGTTCTTATTACTTAGCTCTCTGAAACCAAAAGAAACTTCAGTAGTTATGTGTCAATTCCTTTTCTCCTTGCTGAAAGAAAGACAGGTTCTAAGATTAAAAGCAATACACCAACTGAATTTGGTTTCTGCTGCGTATTACTTCTATGAGATTTTCTGGGGCCTTATTCTTTGCACTTCCTAATCCCCTCTCATATTTTCTCTTGTGTTGCCTGCAGGGTGCTTTGAAGAGGAGTCCTGTGTATTATCTTTGACTCTTGGGTTTGGTTCTTGTTATTGGAAAACCCTTAGATCTCTGGGAAGCTCTCTCCCATAATGGTAACTGTCTTCTCCTAGCACTTGGAATCTGTTCTTATCCAAAAGATTTTTTTATTTTCTGCATT